ATGCTTTCCATATGATCTCTGAGATGGAGCACCAAGGGGGGGGGGGGGGAATAGTAGTAGTGGAAGGAGTGTGCACTAAGACAGAGGTACTGCTCCTAGTTACCATTGGGTCGACTGTTAAGTTTTACAAGTAACGTTTTGCGAGCTTATAAACGATAGCCTCTAAACGCGCACAGGAAACTCCAAAAACATGCTGTGATAATAATGTTGGTCTCTGGATTCCAGTCGATATCCCATATTTATAGTCTGGGAGTTCTGGGATCTACAGAGGGATCGATTACATGAGGCCATTCCCAGCTTTGATGTCCTCGTTAAACGGGAATGGCTGGTTTTCCCTCTGCTCTATAGGAATCACAGCAATCTACACAAAGTTGTGGTCCATTTATAAATTATATTCAGAGAAAACAAACAATTAAACTTGGCGCTAAAGTGAACTTTTAAAATGTTTTTATAGACCTGGAAAAACAAACATTTTAATCTATTCATGAGTAATAATCAAAATTATTGCAAATGTATATATTTCTCTTACAATTCACAACAAAAAAGTTTTCCCTAAATTAGTAATCGTTCATGCATTAAATGAAAAATAAAAATTCCAGCTTTAAATAATCTAAATGTTGTAAAAGTTTAGATTTTTTGGCAACAATTTTACGCACAGCATCTGAGGTCTTACCAGTGGGCTGCAAGTTGGATGAAACGCTTCCCTCTCTGCTGCTTCCCCCTATGCAAAAATCTTGCGGGAGGCTGCGCAGCCCCAACCGGATGGGGTTGTATTGGCTGACGGCGTCTGCGCGAGACGACCAATGAAAACGCCGAAAGAGAGGCTCGTCGTACAACAGCGGAGATTGACGTGGAGGACGCGTCAAATTAATTCCAGCAGACTCCGGACTCCTCGGGATAACTCCAATTTGCATTTATCGGATGACGATCACTTTGGTGCCATTGTGCGCTGCCGTCACTCGCTTCCAAATAATAAGAAGGGGAGCACGCTGCACGCGGACGAGGTTAAAGGACCTTTATTTTCCGCTTCTGAGGGGGATCGTTTCCTCTCCCGCTACTTGTTTTTCTTCGCTAACTTCGCAACAGGACGGGATTTAAAGGAGGCATCTTTATTCTCCAGCATCTTGAGGATAAATGGGTAAGCCCTCGGAGGCGATCCAGACGCAGGGAGCTCGTCAGCGGCATTTATTTTTAAGATAAAGAGCAAAAGGAAGAAAGTTCTTTGCGACAGTGTCAACTTTATGTCATGGTGGAAGTTTTACCCACTAAGCAGGAACAACTGCCTGTTTGGAGCTTTTAAACGGAACCACACCAGCAATTAGACGCCGAGCGTTTCTTTGAAGGGCTCTCTGATGTCAATTCTTCATGCTCGCCATATTTGATTGTGATTTTGTTGTGCGCTCTGGAGAGTAAAGACAGCCAAACAATTTACGCTGGTCTGTGCAGCTGGAAAATAATACTAATAACAAAAATAATAAAGCAAAATAAACCTCTTTAGATTTAGCTGACATGATTGATGCAAGCTGATCGTTTAAATGAGAATTTAAATGATTTATTAAGTTATAAAGTATGATTATCCTTCCCCCTGCAGAGCAAACCTATGGAGAGGTGAACCAACTAGGCGGCGTGTTCGTCAACGGGAGACCCCTGCCCAACGCCATCCGGTTAAGGATCGTGGAGCTGGCGCAGCTCGGCATCAGACCCTGTGACATAAGCCGGCAGCTGCGAGTCTCCCACGGCTGCGTGAGCAAGATCCTGGCGAGGTACAACGAGACAGGCTCCATCTTACCCGGTGCCATCGGTGGGAGCAAGCCACGCGTCACGACGCCAAACGTGGTGAAAAACATCAGGGAATACAAACAGAGCGACCCCGGGATCTTTGCCTGGGAGATCAGAGACAGGCTTTTGGCTGACGGCGTTTGTGACAAATACAACGTTCCGTCCGTCAGCTCCATCAGCAGGATTTTACGCAACAAGATTGGAAACCTCTCCCAGCCTAACCAGTATGAAAGCAGCAAGCAAGCCTCTGCGCAGACCGGGCTGCCCTACAACCACATTTACCCGTACTCCTATCCGAACACGTTGTCACCTACAAGCACGAAAATGGGCAGCCCTCCTGGAGTTCCGGTGACGGCGGGACATATGAGCATAGCCAGAGCTTGGCCTTCTCAACACACCGTCAGCAACATTCTCGGACTAAGGGCTTTCATGGATCCAACAGGTGAGGAAAAATCCTTTTATTATGTCTGAAAACTCGTCTCAGAGCTTAGACGTCCACTGTTCCCAAATATTAGCACAACCGCACCAAACAGCCCCTTGTTTGATTCTGTATGATTAATTACCTTTTCAGTCCCTACAATCTGTTGTGGCAACAGGTGGCATGACTTGTCTGCTAAAACAGCACGGTCTTCCATTTCTCCTCTCAGCCAGAACGCAGCAAGGCCACTCTCAATAGGCCTTTTCATGGAGGGATGCATTTGCAAACACCTTGCCCATCTGCTTTATCCAACCTTAAACAGTCGCTACACACATTTCCCCTGACGTCTCTTGTCGTTTAATTCTGTTTTCATCCACCCATCTCTCTGCCTTGGTGATTAAAACGCGCCATGTGCGTAAAAACGACACAGAGATGTTTAAAGATTAGATTTAGGTAACCGTGTGATCAAAAATGTGGGACTTCACATAAATTCTTAAATCAAACACAATATTCATATGTTATGATTTATCCTTCTATTCTTTTTATTTATATGAAAAATGATGACATTGACGCGCTTTTACGCATCGGAGGAAAAAAACAAACTGGTTAAATTAATTTGTTTGGTTAAGTCCAACACACACACACACACACACACACACACACACACACACACACTTATTTATATATTTTAATCATGCGTAAAGTACTGTAGGCGGATTTTTCTGTATTTTTGTGACTAAATTATCTTATTTTTACTTATTTTGTTCAAATCACACATGTTAGTTGTTTTTTTTTAACTTAACCTGATATTAATGTGTCCAAAATCAGCCATTGCTGGGGCGGATGGGTATCCACCAAAGCTAGACGACTGGAGCAGCGTCAACAGAGCTTTCACGGCCCCTCACACAGCGAACGGGATCGACAAGTCAGCCATTGATGCCGACATAAAATATGCTCAGGTAAATAAAGAAACAAGAATATTTTAACTTTATTTTTAAAATGCACCTTTTTTATTACAACCGTTCTTCTTAGAGACATTCAGAAATGAATTATTTGTCTAATTCCATATTTTGACGAGTCTAAGGAGTCTCCTGCATTAGGTTTGTGTTTCACCATCCAGGATAGAAAAAGCTGATGCATGAAGTGTAGTAAATGTGTTTTAGGCCGAACGTCTCCACTCGTTTTCATTTCTCTGTTGGAATCTTCCTGCAGCCCTCTTCGACATTGTCCAGTTACGTCCCAGCATGCGCCTACTCCCCGAGCAACCAGTATGGCGTGTACAGCGGCCCAGCGGGGGGCTACGTGGCCCCGGGTCACCACCACTGGCAGACCCAGAGCCAAGCCCTGTCCCACGCTGGCAGCGGGATGGGCATGCACGCAGGGGACATCCACTCAGCCATGACCTTCAAGCATCAAACCCGAGAAGGTAATTATTATTATTATTATTATTATTATTATTATTATTATTATTATTATTATTATTATTATTATTATTATTATTATTATTTTACTTTTCTTTCCACCAAAACACTTTTAAGTGTAAAAAGACCTAATTGAAGAAACGAATATGAAAATAAAGTCTAATTGTGTGTAATTACGGTTTCAAAACTGTTCATCTTTAAATGGGAAATCATTGTTACTAATTAAAAGATGCCTGTGTTCATGCAGAGTCTTTATTTCTGGACTAATTAATATTTTTGTGATATTTCTTCCAACAGGAGACCGAAAACCGCCATGCAGCCCTCTGAGCAAGCAGCAGCATGAAGACTTGAACGGTGTGCACGGACTGAGTCTCGCTACCTCATCCTCTTAACCGGACCATATCACACCGTAGACACGTTTAGCAGAACTCATTCCAGCAGCTCCAACAGTAAGTGCGCTCACACGGAAGTCAGCTCCAAATGTCTCTAAGGCCATCTGAATGTAAAAGCTGGTTACCTGGTTGCTGTTTTTTTAAATGTTCTAGACTGTATCTTTACCAAAAGCTGCGAGGTTTAAAATAAATTTCTTAAAAAATGTAAATCCGCTCAATGTTTTATTTTGAAATTCGCCCCTTTCCCCACCTATTTTGTTGCCATGTTCTGGTGATTCTGCGAGGACTTGATGCGAACAAAAGTTATAAATTGTCTAAATGTAAAAACTATATATTATATGGCAAAAGCTTGAATTATATATTTTTATAATTTCATTGTAAATATGAACAAAATAAAGGCTGTGTTTGATGCCACATGCTGTTGTAGAGTCATTCATGCAAACAAATGTGCTTACTGGGCAGTTAGTCGAAAAAAAATGAAAATGTGAAAAATATTTTTGTTTTATGTGTTAAATTGTGTTTATTGCTTACAATTGTGTCGTTTTTAAGTTGAAGCATGTTCTAAATGTGGAGTTAAACTTATGTGGACTATTTAGTGTAACTGTTTTCTCAGCCATGGCGCGCTCCACTGGCTGGGCGCCTCTGCTGATGCTATCTGGCTCCTAATTGATCCCCGCCATGATGGAAATCGGCGCACCTTAATCACCAGGAGCGCGCAGGAGAGCAGCGCACCGCATCCACACACACGCAGACTCAGGAATACGTTAGAAACTCCGGGATTTTCCCACACAGGCCCGCATTCTGCCCGTCAGATCCCGCTCTGTAAACTGTTTATTCCGGCCTGTTTGAGCAACAACGAAATGACTCCCCGCCGCTCTTATCAGCAGGTCTCAGGGAATATTGGTCCCTCTGTTTCTATAATGCGCCTTTTCTCACTCAACAGGCTCAATTTTATAAACAGTTTTAATGTAAACAGCAGGGCTAATTATTACACAAATATGCCCTTCAGAATAAAAAATGCTGTTTAAAACGAAATCCTGCATAAAATGTGGCGCATATATATATATATATATATATATATATATGTGTGTGTGTGTGTGTGTATATGTATACATACATATATACACACACACACACACACACACACACACACACACACACACACACACACACACACACACACACACACACACACATATATATATATATATATATATATATATATATATATATATGTGTGTGTGTGTGTGTGTGTGTGTGTATATATATATATATATATATATATATATATATATATATAAATAAATAAATAAAAAAAAAAAAAAATATATATATATATATACATATATGTATATCTCATCAACTGAGATTAGAAAACTTATATATATATATATATATATATATATATATATATATATATAAGATCAAAACATCTTCACTTATTCATGATCATTTAAAACTGCTGATTTTTCAAGACCTACTAGCAACATTTATTTTTAAAAACTATTCTGAAATAAAAAAGAAATGAATAGTTAAAACCATCAGATTTTCTTGTTTCACTTGAAATAACATGCTATTTTACTTATTTAGGTGAACTAAATATTATATTAGCTTCAGAATACTGCTCATGTTTATTGAAACAAAATCCAATTTTTATGCAATTTGCAGCTTTTTTTGTTCATTTCTGCATGATGAGATAATTTAGTCTGCAGACATAAAAGAATTAGTTTTGTTGCATTAACGCAGCAAATGAATAAATTTTATAACAGAAAAATGAGCAGCAATGCAACAGGATTTATATTTGCCTCCTAAATGAGGTGTTTCCCCCTCATCTGTAAGCCCAACTGCACAGACAACAAGAGAGAGTTAGTGTTTTGGAGAACTACATTTTTAATAAATAATGACATATAATTACAAGCTTCAAACAGGATTATGAAATAAACAGTTTTCTATTAAAATGTGACTCATCAACTGAGATTAGAAAACTTATTTTTGCAGATTACAAAATAGCATAATCGGTATTTTTCTGATGTTTTAGAAGCAAAATATTAAATTAGCCCCAAATTAAATGAAACTGGCAGTGCTATGCTTTTTCACCCTTTACTAAACAACTGAAAGCCATTTCAAAACAAAAAAAGAGATTGTGCACACTATTTAATAATACAATTATAAATTATTGACTTGTTATTTATTGTTATTTAATAGGATCTTTTTGCAAAGTCGGGAACTTTTTTTTCTCGCAGCGATAAACTACATATTGTGCCCGAAATGTTTGTCTAAAATAATCATGTTTCCTATAAATATTAGAGCACTTGACCTGCTGATGTTTTATAGTTCATATACCAACAGATGTTGTCAGACTCAGTGTTTTCTGTCCGACATTGTTCATGTTTACGTGAAGTTTAAAAAAAAGATTGTTTCCAAAAAAAGAAATCAACCCAATAAAAATGCTTTCTAGTGGAAACTTTACATTGATGCTCTGTTTCTGCAGTCCCTCCTTCTAAAATCCCAAATGTGTCCAAACACATAGCCTTCGAATACACACACTCCCTGACTGGAATCGTTCATGTTTTCCCAGATGCCACTTGGGGTTCGGAAAACACTCCTTCATGGTGGTGGGGTGACTTCCTGCGGGACCTATAGTCATCAATCAGGGGTGCATGTGATACCTCCTACAGCGTCTTCAGCCCTGAGCTCAGAGGGCGGCAGGTGGTCAGATGTTTTCAGGAGCTGACACAGATGCAGAAAAACATATTTTTGGAATAGATGCACCATCATGCACCGGTGGCACTATCGTTTACTTGTTTATTTTGTCTTTGAATGATGACATCATTCATGATACTCGTGATTTTTCTTCTAATCACCCAATGAGCTGTGATCACTTATTTTTTATAGGGAATTTTGAGATGATTAGACGTAAAGTTGTTTAAAAACACATGCGAGGGTTCCTCGCAGACAACATTTTTGCGAAACATTTTTTCAGTCAGTGAAAAATATCTTCAGTATTTGCACAGCAACAAATAGAAGGCTTCAGCTAATTCTAATTCTGCACTGCTTCCTAAATTTAAATGATTAGTGTTCACAAAGATCCTTAAGATTCAGCAAATATTTTACTTGATCTTTACAGATATTAAGTTGAGCTGTGCTAATAATCCACGATGCAGCGAAACGGTGACAGAGGCTCCCTAAAAAGCTAAAACAGACGCGTTTGAACAATCCTTCTCTGTCTGACGTGTATGCAGGAGGGATTGAGTGCTCTTAAGGGACCAAAGTTCAGTTATTGTGTTTGACACTTTGTTAGGTACAGTATGATTTAATGCAACTTATATTGTCTCTTCTATTTTGTGTGCCAAATGGAAGAAACTGTATCCCAGGCTGGCAGGAGTCATTCATTCATTCACTCACTCAGCACTTTGTCTTTGCATGTCTGAAAGTCAACAAAAGAGAATCTCGGGACAGGAGACGTGTCAGACCAGACATGGTCTGAGAAAAAAAGCAAAGAAAGATGCATAAGGGTTAAAAAAAGACTCGGCAACGTGTCAAACGTAGAAGAAAAAATGGGTCTGCTCCTGCCTGAAACGTCAAATGATTAGAATCGCCATGGAAACGTAGAGAATGCAAACAAGTACAAGGCTGGAACGGGAGTGAATCGTCACCTTTCACATGGACGGGGTGCATTTTGACAAGCTTCTGCAGCCCATGACAACACTGTCTGACTGAATTAAAATGCATTAAGAAACCTCAACGAAAATCTAAGTAAAAATACAAAAAAATGCACTCATGCATCCGTGTTTTTGCACCTAAACTAAAAGAGAAAAGCAGCGGGGCTGCAGCTCTTGTAATTCAATCACTTCTGACATTTTTTTTTTCCCCCTGACTGTCCACAGGATTTCCAAGCAGGCAGAGTTACAGCTCTGAAGTCTAGAGGATGATAAATGTCTCCCTCCCATGTTCTTACTTGCTTGGCCCGCTCACCACATCAACCAGATGCTCTGAAAGCAAAAGGGACAGAGACATGATGATGACATTTGGCTTTCTAAATGAAAACGTATCATTTAACGTTTGCTCTCGGGAGATTGCGCCGCTGCCTTTTGCTCCTCTGAGGATACGTGTAGAGAATAACCACAGGATCATGCAGAATGGTAGAGCCCGGTTCTGATTATTACATGCAGACGGCTAAAAGAGCATGAAATTATGTTTGCAAACACAATAAATTTTACTGACGGAAAAGGCTGAAATGAAAAGAGGCATATTTTTGTAAAGCTTGAGGGTTTGGAGCTTTTTTCTTCCTTTTTTGGAGCTTAATTGCTATGTAAATATCAACATCTAACAGGGGTTGTAGTAGAAAAATGCAGAAAAATTATCTGCAGCTATGTTGTAGAAGTCTATTTTAGTGATGATCAAGAAAACAGACAGCCCTTGGTGAAAAAGAGTCCTCTAATTTGTGGAAAACGTATTTGAAGTGTGTTAAACTCTGCCAACGATACCGTTAAAATGGAAAAGCTTCTGGTTTGAACTATTATTAGACGATTAGATGAAGACTTTGCTCCTAAAAATGTAACAAAACTAGTGTCTGTTAGTTTGAGGAGGAAAGGTTTGGATAGAATCGTTTATTTGACTGAAATCAGATTTAAAATACTTGTTTTAATCAGTTATAAGCTAGACTGTTAATAATCAGGCTTGTGTTGTTTTAAATTTTGTTACTGTCAACAAGTCGTACAAAAAAAAGCAATAAGCGTTCGAAAAACTGACAGAGTCCGTCTCTCAATACGCTGTGATTTCCTAGTTTGCTGCCTAAATCAGTCCAGCTAAAAAATAAAGAGGAAAGATTGAAACGGCTCCTGTGTGTTAAAAATGCTAAAGAATTCCCCCAAAATATCTGCGGTTGTGCAAATGTTTTTCAGAGAAGTGTAAATACTGCGTTTTCTGGGAACTATTTTCAGCTGTGGATGAATACACAATTTGTGACTATTTGCGGAATCAGGAAGGTGTGTGTGTGTGTGTGTGTGTGTGTGTGTGTGTGTGTTTGAACTTGAAAAGGTCACAGTAAAAAGTGAATTTATTACAAAAAAATCAGCTGACTGACTAGTTTTTTTAAATTTTCATATCAGATTTTTGAATTATGTAATCAAGTTTTAACTTCCTAATTTTTTATTTCATACATACATGAAACTTTGTTAATGAATCTTGCTTTGTTATAAAAATAATCTCTAGTTTTTAAATGGTAAACCAATAAAAACCCATCACCAACCCACTTCTGTTCTACGTTCAATAAATCTTGCCACATTTACTAAACAAATCTCCGTCGCGTCTTCTTCCTGCTGCTCGTCACGCCATTGCTGCTTGTGTGATGTCATCCGGTCTGTTTATTGCAGCCGCGCTCTCCTCCCCAGCCGAGTGGCTCCATCCGACCCTTCATTCAGTTTCAAACGCATGTTTTCGCCATGCCAAATTAGCAGCCACCCTTTGGGTCAGTGCTGCGTGTGAGCGCTGGGACGGCCGAGACACGTTTGAGTGAGAAACACCAATAACAGCAACACGCACGGTTCTCCACAACTGGCTGCTCATCAACTTCTTCAAAGGGCCTTTTTTCTCTCTCCAACCATCTCCTCGTCGTGAGTCGGTTTGGAGCTACTGTTGACAGCACCAAACGGTGAGCGTCGAGCGCCTTCATGCCCCGTGAATGCACCAAACAGCGGTGTTGGTTGTTCAAACCAAACGAGACCGTCAATACGGGAAAGGCCAAACAGTATGCGCTGTATTTATTCCCGGATATGGCACGAGTCACGAGATCAGAGGGAATTTGTGTTGGTGTCAACGCGATCCTGCACTGGTGAACCAGTTCCTTCAAATCTATCAGGTGATAGGGGTTGGCAGTTCTCGCCGGCGCCGCTTTCGCAAACTTTCAGGGAGTGGCGGCAGCCGCGCAAGGTCAAAAGGTTGATTAATGACTGTCATTGTTGTTTAGGTTTCACCTTTTGTTGCATTAT